GGGGGCTGCCCAGGGGGCAGGGTGGGCCTGGGGCTGGGCATGGGCTGGGCTGCGCTCAGGGTGCAGGCTCCTCCCTAGTCCTGATGGTGGGTGCCAGAAGACGGATACGACCTTCACCAAGGGCGCTGTGGAGGGGCAGTTCAGCAACCCAGGTGAGGGGCGGGGGGCTGGCGGGGTGCTCCCTGGGTCTCCCGGGTGCTGTCCCGGGCCAGGGCCAGCCTGCTCTCGCCCACAGCCATGGCGCAGACCGACATCCGGGTGGCCTTCACGGACTACCGGCACTTCGCCGTGCTGTACTTCGAGATGCAGCAGCAGGGTGTGCGCAGCGTCTGGCTGCAGCTCTACGGTGGGTGGCCAGGGGCTGGGGCCCTGTCCAGGCCGGGACACCCCCAGGGGCTCGGCGTGGCACTATGTGCACGGTCGGGCATGTGCTGGCTCACAGGGAAGGGCTGCGGCCCCATGGGTCTCCCTGGGACCAAGACCCCATGTCTGGTGGGGTCAGCCTCGTCCATTTGCCCCGTGCCCTGCTCACTGACCATCCCTGTCCTCAGCACGTGCTCCCGAGCTGTTTCCTGAAGGCGCCCAGAAGATGCAGCTGTTGGCCCCCAAAGTGGGCCTGAACCCCAGCCAGGGTGCCATGCTGCTCAAGTCAGGTGAGATGGCTCTGCACACCTTGCAGGGCCGCAGGAACCTGGCTGGCAGACAGCCAGAACACACACATGTACAGAGCATGCAGACCACACGACACGTGTACAGAGCACACAGACACACAGAGCCCCAACGCCACTCCCCGACCTGATTCGGGGCTGAAGTGCCAGGTGGGGGTTGGCGGGTCCCCTGGGGTGGCTCTCAGACTGAGTGGGACCTCCAGCCCGCAGTGAGGGGCACGGGGTCCTCAGGCTGCTCTCTCCCACAGACCAGTGTGCCAGCGCCCTCTCCAGGGTGAGTAGAGTGTCGTGGTGCCCAGCACCCTGCAGGCCATGGGCTACAGGGGGCGGGGAGGGGGTGTCCTCCTTAGGGGCAGGGAGGGCGGTTAATGGCAGCAGGCTTTCCCAGAGGCAGGAAACACCCCCACCTACCCCTTGTTTTGCAGTGAAGGGTTCAGCCCCAAGTGCCAGCATTCAAGCACCAAGCCCGGCCCGCTGTGGAGAGCTTCAGCCACCCTGTCCCCGGCCAACCCTGCACAATAAATGGTCCTCAAGCCAGCAGCCACGCGTGTTTCTTGGGGGTGGCAGGGAAAGGGGTGGACCTGGGACACTATTCGCCTGAGCTGGACACTGGCTCAGGCCTGGGGCTTACAGAGCAGCCCTCCTTCAGAGGCTGGGCACCCTTACCAGGTTTGACCTGGTTCTGCCACCTGGACTGGCATTCGACTGGGGGGGTGGGGTGAGGCTCAGCTCCACATCAAGGCAGCTCCCAGAGGAGCCTCCCAGGTCCCTTCAGACCCCACTGCCCAGGCTGGGTGCGGGCCTTGCTCAGTGACCTAGATATGTGTGTAGCCACCAGGAGGAAACCCATGCCAGCCCAGCCTTTGGGGTTTTTCCAAACTGCAGCCCTGAGCAAGTGTCTAGACCACTTCTCCTTTTTTAAAAAAGAATTATTGGGGCCAGCAGGTAGTGTGGTGGTTAGGGCGCTGGATTCCCACATGGCTGACCATGGTTTGAGTCCCATACCCAGTGGATTGAAAATTGCACTGGACGTATGTGCGCAAGTGCCTAAATCCCAAAAGGAGGATAGAGAAGGGATTATGGGTGGCCACACCCTGGCGGTGACTTCTCATTTTCCCTCTCACTGTCTCTCTGTCTCTCTTTGCAGTGAATGCATATGCCCTATGGCAAAAATCTTCAAAAGGAAAGGATTTTTTTTTGAGAGTTTTTTTTTTTTTTTGGAGAGGTTTTTCGCTATAGGGCGCATGCGCTCACCAGACAGAGACATAGAGACAGAAAGTGAGAAATCACCCCCCAGGGGGGATGGCCATGCCGCAATCCCTTCTCCTCCATTCTCCTCTTCTGCTTTCAGTTGGTTAGAAATGCTTCAAGAAAAGCATGACCTTGTCTTATCAGACCTGCTTTCTTTGACTGGGCTGGGAGGTCTCAGAGATAAAGAGTACATCCATTCAGGAACCTGGGCAGCCTCCATGCCTGTCCCCAACCCTGGGTGCCCAGGGTGGGCCTGGGGAGGGGTAGAAAGCCCCGGAGCACCAGGAGCGGTCTGTGCAGCACCCCTGTGTCCCGTTCTCCTGAGCTTGGGCAGGGGCACAGCAGAGACGCACCTGCTGAGAGAGCATGCCTGAGCGCCAGCTGTCACTCTAAGGACTTCCTGGGTCAGCAGATTCCACCATGATGCAGTAAGGAGAGGTGGGAAGGTGGGGAGGCTCCTGGCCTGGGACAGACATGGGTGTGCTGCCCTCTGTCGGGGGGCGGTCCTTCCTCCTCCGCAGTGGGGAGAAGCAGGTTGTCCTCCATGTCCTGAGGGACTCGTTCCCCCTCCTTGCGTGGTGGGGCAGCTGGGGAAGCTGATGTGGGTGCAGTCGTGGTCATCCCCTGGACCTCTGCAGTTCAGGGCTGGCCTGTCATGTCCTGCACCACCCTGCTCTGGCTACCAGGGACAGCCGCCAGCCAGTTCTCCACCCAAAATCCCCGCCCCTCTGCTCAGGCTGCTCGGCAGTCCCAACTGCTGAAGGGAAAAGCCAGCCCTTCATACCGACAAGCCCTCCTTGGTAGGCTGTCTTCGACTTCACCTGCTGCTGCCCTCCTTCCAGCCTGTGTGCCCCTCCTGTCTAAGCACGCCTAAGCATGTGGCCCTGTGCCTGCTTGGGGGCCGGTGACGGGAGGCCCCTCCCCTGCCCACTGAACTTGCTCGCTGCCCTCCGGGCTTTTCCTCAAACCCCGCCTTGCTCAGCCGCTGCCCCCTGGACCCCGCTCTCGCTCTTCTTGCTGCTTAGCTCCCAGATGCTCCCACCTGGGCATGAGGTCAGCCCTGACTCTGCACCGAGAAGAAGGCCAGGAGTAAGGGGGACCTCGTGAGACCCTCCTCTGCTTGGCCCACCTGCATTGTCTACACCGCTCACCAAGGACTGCGGGCTATGGGAGCCGGACACAGACATCCCGTAATCGCGGAGAGGAAAGTCTGCCTGCCCTCTCCACCTAACTTGGCCGCATCTGTTCAGGGTCTTCTGCTAGTGTCCAGGCTGCTGTAACAAGTGGTCACACACTTGCGGTTTAAAACATGCGCTTACTTTCTTGCAGCTTTTGCAGCTTGAAGTCCAAAACTGGGCTGGCAGGCTGCGGTCCTGGAGGCGCTGGGCAGGGTCTCTGCTCCCTCCAGCTCCTGGCTGCTGGCCGCCCTTGGTTCAGGGCCTCAGCACTCCATCCCCCTACTACGCCACATGCCATCTCCTGTCTGCCCCTCTCTTGTAAGGCGGAGTGGCATCTGGGATGGCACCAGGGCTCACCCGGAGGATCTCCCACCTCAGAATCCACCTGCAAAGACCACTCTTCCAGACAGGGTGACAATCCTGATTCCAGGATTCGGCTGCAGGTCTCTCGGGACCTTGTTCTACCTGGGAACGCTGCCCTGGACCCTGAGCGCTGGGCCGGAGGCACCATGTCCCACCATCATACTCCCAGGCTGAAGCTCCTGGGCACCTACAGGGATCTCAGCAGCAATTCGGGCCATTCGCAGTTCCTGTGAAGAAGGGGGCCTTAGCCTCCTCTCCGCCCTCTCTGAGCCTATGAGCCAGCCTCCACCAGAGCTGCACAGGCATCTCCTGTCCTTGGGGCACTGGGCATGGGCCCAACATGCCACTCCCAGCATCTCTGCATGCCGAGCACCGGGTCAGCACTGCAGAGATGGGTAACACGGACAGAAATCCCCACCCTCGTGGTATCAGGAGGGAGATGGACAGTAATGGGATGAGTGTAGCAGTCACCCACTGCTGAGTAACAAGCTGCCCCGAAATGGGCAATTAACATGGCAAGTGTGCAGTCTCCCAGCTTCTTTCTGTTCTTTCTAACTTTTACCGTAGGACAAGTGTGCTCATAGGCAGAGAAAGAGAGAGAGGAAAAGCGAGAGGGCACCCTCTAGAGGGGGTGGCAGGGAAGCAATCCCTTCTCTTCCCTCTCTCCCTCCTGCTGGGATTTGGGCATGCGCACACATATGTGCCTATTATGTTTCTCGAGCAGCTAGTTCCAGGACGCGAACTGCATGGCAGGTCATGTGCTATTTGCCACCTTCACCACCACCAGCTGGCCCTAAGTCTCGCAGTTTCTGAGAATCAGGAATCTGTCCTGGGGCACAAGGACCTCTCATGGGGCTGGTTGGTGCAGCCGAGCTAGAGGCTCAGGGGAAGGCCCAGCTGGGGAGTCGGCTTCCTGGCTCCTCACGGCAGTGGCAGCCCTGTGCCCGCGGGTGCCTCCACCGGACTACTAGTGGGCAGTCAGAGGGTGGAAAGGCGGCAGCAGTCGTCCTGCTAGTCTGGAGCTAGAAGCATGCCATCCAACCCAACCAGGGGAGAGGACCACAGGAAGGCGTCGACGCAGCAGGCGGGATGCTGGGAGCCACCTGGGAAGTGTCTTCTACATGAGGAGTTCAGGACACATTTCAACCCGAGTGGGCAGAAGAGCGGGTCAGAGCCTTGAACTGGTACACACCACACCCAAGGATGGCCTCTGGAGGACTGTGGTCACTTGAGTAAAGACCTGCAGAGGTGTGAGGTGTGCAGAGGGGGAGAATGGAGGGCTGTGGGTTTGGACCAGGGGGCCGGACCTGCCAGCACAGCAGACCCCACTGAGCTCTCCCCAGGCCACCACATCACTCTGGCCTTCTCCCCAACCTCGCCGACCCCGCCAACCCCGGGCTCCAGCCTGCAGCATCTGCTGAGGTCTCTGCCCGCCTGGCCCTGCCTGAGGGGGTCACGTTGTTATCAGTCTCTTCCGTGAAATCTCGGCAACTTGGAGGGAGATTTTTGCACGGGTGCCCGTACTGTCCTCACTTTTGCACGTGACGCTTTACAACCGTTGGGAGGCTTGGCTTTGGCCCTAAAAAGGATATGAGATATACCTCGGGAGCGCAGACGTGCGGGGTCAGCGAGAGGACAAGCGGGTCGCACAGAGGGAGCCAGGATTCGGCAGTGACGGAGTGCGCAGGAGGCGAGGCCCCAACAGATTCCGGGACCGGAGCCCCGGGTCGCGCCGCGAGCCGCTCCTCCTCTAAGCCCCGCCCCCGGAAGCCGCCCTCCCCCCGGCTCTGGCGTTCCCGGCCCCGATGCCTGTCTCGCTCGGAAGCGATCTTTGTGCGCAGGCGCGGGAAGCCGCGGCCAGGCGCATCCCGTCCGGTCCCAGCTGTCATGGTGCCGCCGCCGCTGTCACCTCCGCTCTGTACGCTGCCGCCGGGCCCCGGGCCGCCCCGCTTCGTGTGCTACTGCGAAGGAGGCAGTGGGGACGAGGACCGCGACGGCTTCAACCTCTGGTGACGGGGGGTGGGGAGTGGGGCCCGCGGGAGGCGGGGGCGCGGAAGTCGGTGGACCCCGGCAGCGGGCCCGCCTGACACCCGCCCGCCCCGCCGCAGCGTGACGGACGCCGCGGAGCTCTGGAGCACCTCCCTCTCCTCGGACAGCCTGGCAGCCCTCGTGGGTAACAGGAGCACCCCGCGCAGCCGCTGGGCGCCTGCGGGAGGGGCCTGGACCCGGGCGGCTCTGCGGCTGGGCGGCGGGAGCGGGGGAGTCTCCCAGTGGCTATGGGCCCTGGGGGCCGGTGACGGGACTGTGCCCTTAGAAAACCCGCTTTGGCCTGAGTGCGGCAGAGGACATCGCTCCCCGGTTCAGGTGAGCCCCAGGTGCAGAGGAGAGGTGGGTCAGGGGCCGGGGCTTGGGCTGCAGCAGCACCGCACTCGCTCCTCTCCCAGGGCAGCCTGTAAGCAGCAAGATGTGGCCGTGACTCTGCAGGAGGACCGAGCAGCCCTGACGCTGACCGTGGCTTCCCCGCCTCTCATCTTTGACCTGGCCAGGGTTCCAGGCCCAGAGGCAGCTCCCAGGCTGCAGGCGCTGACCCTGGGCCTGGCGGAGCATGTGTGCAGGCTAGAGCGGCAGCTGGCAGGTAGGCAGGCACCTGTTCCCACTGGGCCCCCTCATGATACCGAGTGCAGTGCCCACTGGCTTTCTTTTCCAGCTGCAGAAGAGACAGCAGCTAGCCCCAGGAAGAGCCCCCGTCTGGTGGGGCCTCAGTCCTTCCTTCCAGGTAAGCGTGTCCACCTTGGCTTAGGTGGGCTGTGCTTCCGTAGGACCTGCTCTCCCAGAACAAGCCTGACGCTCCAGAGAGGATCTGTCTGAGAGGGCTGTGGCCAGCGCTGCTGCTGAGTTCAAGAGCCCTGTCCTGCTTTTCCCAGACCCAGATCCCCAGAGAAGCGGCCCCCGGCCTGTGGTCAGGAGGCGGTGTCCAGGAGAGTCTCTCATCAACCCTGGCTTTAAGAGGTACTGGTCCCAGTCCCCCTGTGCCCAGGTCCCAGCCTCTTCCCACCCGCTTAGTGTCAGCCCCTCTTCTTTCACAGCAAGAAACCAGCCAGTGGTGTAGAGTTTGATGAGCCCTGAAGGTACAGAACAGTGACCTCGCCTGGAGCGGGACCCCATCCCCGCCCCCGATCCATGCTCAAGTCTGTTTCTCATCAAATAAACAGGTGTACGTGCTGGCCAGGCCTGCTTCTGGGGCGGGGCATCGGGACACCGCGGCCTCTGCTCCGGGCCTAAGACACAGATGCAAACACACATGGGGTCCCTCTTTGCTGGTCCTGGAGGCCCCAGGGGAGGGGGCCCTGTGGGAGACCGGTCCAGCAGCCAGGCTGGGCATGGCCACAACCACAGCCACCCCCACCAGGAGCGTGTCCTGCACAGATACGTTTGGATAGTCACCACTGTGCCCTGGACGGCCCAAGCCCCTTGTGGGAAGGGTTGGCTGTCCCTGGGGTGTGGCTGAGGAATGTGGGCTTCTTCCTTGCCCAGAGCCCCAAGGCTGGGCTCTACAAGGCTCTGCTCCCCACCCTCCTTGGCCATCCAGGGTGCCCCACCCAGTCCTGGCCTGACTGGTTTGGGAGCCCAATCCAGTCCCAACCCGAGGCCTCCCAGCTGAGCACCTGGGCCGGCCCTTCCTGCCGGCCTCTCTTGCTCTTGGCATTCTGGGCCGCCTTGACCTGAGTGGGCTTGGGGATGGCAGCGATCGATCGTGGCCCCTCAGACGTCAGGACACGTTCACTGGGACAGAGATGGCTTTATGGGACTGCAGATGCAGGGCACGGGTGGGAGGCGAGCAGCGTCCTAGCTGTCCTAGCGAGGGTGCACAGCGGGCCGGTAGGCCGCCACAAGCTCGGCAGGGTGCGGACACGTGTACTTGAACTCTCTCTCCTGCAGTGCGCTGGCCAGGTAGCGGCGCACGGCCTGCAGCTCTGCGGGGATGGGCGCCTGGCGGAAGTGCGCGCACACCGTCTGCAGGGGAGGGGCGCTGTCAGGGCTCCCCTTGAGGCTCGCCAGCCCTGCCCCTGTGCCCTCCCGCTGCCAGTGCTCACGTCCACGATGTGCAGCTTGGGTAGCAGGCTGCAGTCGGCCAGCGTGAGCTGGTCACTGTCCAGGAAGCGGCGGAGCGACTCCGGCAGCTGCGGCTCCTGGGCCAGCTCGTGCTCCAGGGGCGTGCGCAGGTACCTGTCCAGCCTGGCGAGGGCGCGCAGCAGCTGCTGGTACAGGGCCAGGGGCAAGGGACACGGGGGAGGCA